GATTCTGGGAAATGCAGTCCACCCCTCTTAAAGCATCCTGGCTGGGGGATTCTGGGAGTTGAAGTCCACCCATTCTGAAGCAAGCTGGCTGTGAAATGCACTTTTAAATAAACATTAATATATAAAACCTATAGGGGCCTTGGAGGTCTTCAACCCCCTGCTCAAGGCAGGAGACTTTATACCATCCTGGTCAAACGGTTTTCTAACCTATTTTTAAAAGCCTCCAGGGATGGGAGCATCCACAACCTCAGTGGAGAAATTGTTCCTCTGAATAACTGTTCTCACTTTCGGGAAATTCCTCCTTTATTCTTGGTCGGATCGTTCTGTAACAAGCTTCCACCCATGACTTCCTGTTCTATCCTCGGGTCCATAAGCTGGGCTTATATAACAATGCAGCCAAGGGCTTTGCCTGGCTATCTGCTGAGTTTTCCTTTTTTTAAAAAAAATTAACGAATCGAAGAGAGAAAAATATCGGGGAGGCGGGAGTCAAGCAAGGGCCCCGCGTTGTAGACACAGCCCCTGGGAACGCACCAATTTGCCGGTCGTGGCTCCTTTCCACGTAGTGATAACCAGTTCCAAGAGATCCACTTCCACCACGCAAACATAATCTAGGACGAGAGGAAAAACGAAACTGGAACTTGTTAAGTAAGAAACATGACAGAGGAAGATGTGCAAGTCCTAGAACCACGATGGCGAACCTGTGGCACGTAAAGCCATTTGTGCCGGCAGGCGAGCTGCAGGCAAACTTACCTCACTGGGCGTGGGTGCACCTCACAGTTGATTTTGGGCTGGTTTGAGGCCTTTTTCAGCCTCCCAGAGGCTTGAGGAAGGCTTCTCCAGGCTTTGCAGGCCGAAAACTAGCCCCGTTTCATCATTTCCTGTTTTTCCGAAAATACCGGAAGTGATGGAACGGGCCTAGGTTTCGGCCTGCAAAGCCTGCAGAAGCCTTCCTCAATTCTCTGGGAGGCCAAAAAAAGGCGTCAAACCAGCCAAAAATCAGCTGTGAGACGCAGCTCACGGGGGGGGGGGGGCGCATTGCCTTCTGGGTGCTGGCATGCAAGCGTGAACGTGCACACAATTTTTTGGCACAGGAGCCCAAAAAGGTTAGCTATCACTGTCCTAGAACTTCCAGTTTGCAGGCAATCCTCGGTTTATGACTGTAAGCAAGCCCAGAATTATGGTCGTTAAATTATGGCGGTCGATGAAAGATCATCACATAATTGTAACCTGTTTTGCAGTGGTTTTAAAGCAAACTTTGTGGATCGGAGTGTCTAACCTTGGCAGCTGTTAAGATTGGTGGACTTCAACTCCCAGAATTCCCTGGCCGCCTGGGGATTCATGAGAGTTGAAATCCACCAATATTAAAAGTTAAGCCCCTGCTGTAGAACTTATGCAAATCCCTTGTCTGCAAAAAAAGGCATTTATTTATTTTTTTGCTGGAAAAATTGTAACGTTATGACTTTGGGGACTAATAAAAAGGCTACCAAGAGTAAAAATAATATCAAAAATGCAGTCGTCTGAGCTGAGCCATCTCTAACAGATTACAGAGTTGGAAAGGGACCTTGTAGGTCATCTAGTCCAACCCCCCGCCCAAGCGAGAGATCCTACACCATTTCTGATAGATGGCAGTCCAATCTCTTCTTGAAAGCCTCCAGTGATGAAGCTCCCACAACTTCTGAAGGCAACTTCTGTTCCAGGGGTGGATTGTTCTTCCTGTCAGGAAATTCCTCCTCATTTCCAGGTTGAATCTCTCCTTGTTCAGTTTCCATCCATTATTCCTTGTCTGGCCTTCAGGTGCCTTGGAAAACAGCTTGACCCCTTCCTCCTCCTCTCTGGGGCAGCCCCTGAAATACTGGAAGGTTGCTCTCCTGTCTCCCCTGGTCCTTCTCTTTCCTAGACTAGCCAGGCCCAGTTCCTGCAACCTTTCATCGTATGTTTGAGCCTCCAGTCCCCTCATCATCCTGGTTGCTCTTCTCTGCACTCTTTCCAGAGTCTCAACCTCTTTTTTATAGTGTGGTGACACAAACTGGATGCAGTATTCCAGGTGTGGCCTTACTAAGGCTTTATAATCTGTTTTAATTATAGAGTGTACAATGTCCCCTGTTTTAAGACAAAAGCCATGCCATTGGCCCAAGAAAATCCCCATCCCAGACGTGGGGCAGGGGGAGATGACTGGGGAGGGGGTACCTTTGTTCAGGTCACCCGTCTCTTCTTCACATTTGTTGGAGAGGAACAGCGTGGAGTTATCCAAAATGAACCTAGCGGGGAGAACAAGCAGGGCTGGTTAGGAGCCGCTCTGGAACTGTTGTAAATCGAGAGCTCCGTCCAAGGCTTTCCCCCCAAAAAGCACCAAGCCAACTCGAAGTCCCGGCAAATCCTCTTTTATTAAATGAATGTGAATTTAGTGCATTCACATTCAGCCAACGGCTTGGCAAACGGACTTGCAAAAGTATAATAATGAGCTCAGACCTTATCTATCTTGGAAAGCTGCCCGGTAAATATTTCCACACTCAGTGCTGACAGGGAAGGGGCGGGTTACACAGACAAATCTTCACGAGGCTGGAACAAACAAGCAAGCGAGCAAGTTGTTTCCTGCAAAAGTCCCCTCCCCTGTTGCCCCTCTTTTAATCCCTATGGGAGGAGCCATTCACCTTCCACCTGTACCTTTACTCCTGAGTCGACCCTTGTTCCTCAGCTGTTCCCTTCTCCTGGCAGCTCTGTGCATGCGCACAGTGGGAACAGGCTCCAGCTGTTCTTCTGCCCCACTGATCTCTGACTCTGAAGGCAGCTGATAACTGTCGGACGGCCCTGGCCCCATCTCTGCCTCCGACACAGAGCCCTCATCAGAGCCTTCCCCAGACTCCAGGACTGGCCCATGTTCCTCCCCAACCTCCTCACTACTGTCCGAGTCTGCTGCCAGCTCTGTCAGCCAACGGCGGGCCACAACACCGAGCACCTGTGCATTTTTATTTAGCTGTAAAATTTGTTCGCCGCCCATCTCTTCTTGCAGGGTGAGATTGTTGAGAATCCAGTGAGGGGGAAAAAGATTCCTTTCCCTCAAGTTCTTGGGGGAAAGGAAATACATGCAGAATCCAACAGGTGCAGTGTGCCAAGAGGTACAAACAGGCACACCCATCCTAGATCCGACAGGCCTTTCCTGGCATGCATGCCAGTTTTTTGAATTTCTCCACAAATGTTGTGGCCTGCCAGCAGCCAGCGGAGCTGGTGGCAGACTCGGACAGTGAGGAGGTTGGGGAGGAACCTGGGCCAGTCCTGGAGTCCGGGGAAGGCTCTGATGAGGGCTCTGCATCTGAGGCAGAGATGGGGCCAGGGCCGTCCGACAGTTATCAGCTGAGATCAGTGGGGAAGAAGAACAGCTGGAGCCTGTTCCCAGGGTGCGCATGCACAGAGCTGCCAGGAGAAGGGAGCAGTTGAGGAACGTGGGTCGACTTGGGAGTAAAAGCAAAGGTGGACGATGAATGGCCCCTTCCATTGGAAATAAAGAGGAGCGAAAGGGGAGGGGTGTTTGCAGGAGACAATTAGTTCGTTTAATTAGTGTGAAGATTTGTTCAGAGGCTCCTTGCCAAGTATTTTCTAGTACAGCGTTGCGCTTAGAAGCTATCGGTCTGGCAACTCTCCAAGCCTGATAAGGTCTGTGGTCGTAATTCACTCTTGAAAGACCGTTTGCTGGGACTCTGCTGGATGTGAACGATAGGAATTCACATTATAGCCTAATAAAAGGGTTTTTTTGTTGGGACGAGGAGTCTGCTTTGTGGTTTTGGTGACGCCCAGATCAGAACAGCAAAAGAGGCGGGGATGGGCAGGGGGCTCCTTGCACTCTTGCTCCAAATCCCCCCCTTTTTCGCCAAGGCCCCTTCTGTTCCACCCCCCACCCCCCAAGAGATTTGGCGGGCTCAGCCCCACCACTCACCGAAGGAGGAAGACCGAGGTGTCCACAATGATGTTACTGGAGAGGGTGAAGGTCTCAGCGGTGATGAGCACCCGGAGGGGCAAGTAGAGAGGCCTGTGAAGGAGAAGGGGGCGGTCAGCCTCTGGGGCAATGCGTCCCAACTTTGAGCACTTTAAGAGGTATGGACTTCAACTCCCAGAATTCCCCAGCCAGCTCTCATGGTGGAGAGGGGGAAGTCACAGCACAGCAGCCCCCTCTTGGGTGCAAGTCACCCCAAAACTCCAGCAGCTGGCGGAAGGAGGCTGGAACGAAACCCAACTAGGGATAACAGGAGTTGGAAGGGACCTTGTAGGTCATCTAGTCCAACCCCTTCCCCCCCCACCCCCAAGCAGGGGAGCCTCCACCATTTCTGACAGATGGTAGCTCAGTCTCTTCTCAAAAGCCTCCAGGGATGGACCTCCCACACTCTCACTGTCAGGAAATTTCTCCTTATTTCCAGGTTGAATCTCTGCTCTTGGTGTTAACCTCGGTTTAGCATGTTGTGGGAACCCAGCCGGACAGCTCCAGCCTCTTTCCCGAGGCAGGGCTGACCGAAACAGCTGATGGCCGGCTCAAGCAACCCCCAAATCCAGACCTCCTCCTCCTCCTCCTCTGATTTCCAACACCGTTACCTGTAATCCACGGCACAGTTGAAGAGGTGGGTGTGCAAAACTGTGATGATGGCGGGGGGCACGAAGCCCAGGATGGGGTCGTCCAGAACGTCCAGGAAGTCGATCAACTGGCAGAAGGAGATGTGGCCATGAGACTTGAACCCAGAGCCCTGGAGCCCTGCCCTGGCCCGCCGGCTCTCCAGCGCCTGGGAGTTAAGCTTAGCCCGGTCTAAGAGAGGATAGAGAAAGGGGCTGCTCCCAGGTGCTGCTCAGGCGCCCCTAGCTCGTCCCCCCACCTACCCCCATGCCCCCTCTAACCAGAAAGCAGCCAAACTTCTCTGGGGGGATCCAGTCTCACCTGCGTGTACCAGCTCTGGTGGGCCAGTGCCATGCGGTGCCGTATGGTGGCACCCTCGAGGCGCAGCGTCACCAGGAATTCCTGCAACCCAGAAGGAAAATGGGGGTCACCGGCCGTAGGTTTTCTCCTAGGCCGTTCGGCTCTCCTTTGCTCGGGGCTCCAAGGGAGACACGCTATTGTGGCCTGTCCGTCAGATGAACCAGAGGAGGAGGAGGAGGAGGAGGCAGAGTGGGAATCAGGATCAGCACTTGGGCAACCTGGGAGCTCCGAGGGGGAAGAGGGAATGGAGCTGGCAGAGAGAGAGAGAGAGAGAGGTGGAGCCTGGGCCGTCCGTCATCCTTAGAGGGAGAGTCCACAGCCCCCAGGTCTGGAGGTGGAGGATGAGGAAGAGGAGGAACAGCCGGGTCCAGTGCCTGACATGCGCAGAAGGCAGAGGAGAGGAGAGCAGTGGAAATCTACAGGCCGGTTCTTGGGACGGAAGAGCCGCTAGCCAAGTCCCACCCTAGCTTTGGGGATACGAGGCAGCGGGTGGACAGGAATCGATGTGGCGGACAACTATTTATCTGCTTTCTGGACAGATTTGTTAGCTTGCAGTGAGAGAGAAACTCTTTTGCGGAGGCTGCTGGTGCTCCTAATAAAGGAATCTTTTGCGTTCACTTCTGAGGGCTGGTCGCATTTGGGGAGCTGGGTCAGAACACAAAGGAAAGCAAGAAGAGGCAGACGATAGTCCCTCACGGGCTGGGAAATAAAGAGGAGGGGTTTGGGAGTGGCCAGTGGCGTCAGGCAACCATTCGTCCAGAGGTTGCCAACCTTTTGGACTTCAGGGACCATCGAACTCATCATTTTAAACCCCACAGACCGGAGACCCTGGGAAAATCCAAAAAAAAGTCTGCAGGAAAATTCCCCACCCCGTTTTCCTACTGATCAATCGTTCTTTATTTGGGATCACAGGATGCCGTCTCCAGCTCCGTTCTCGGGGGGGGGGGGGGAAGACTTTTGGCTACATGCAAGGAAAGCAGCAGAAGCAGCAGAAGTCTTTCGTTCTTTCCCCCAAACTCCCCCAGAAATGAGTCTTTGTGAGACTTGTCGCACCAGCACAGCCTCATTTCTGGCGGAATTTGGGGGAGAGAAAGAAAGACCTTTGCTGCTTTCCTTGCGTGCAGCCAAAAGCAGAAGAAGAAAGAAGCGGAAAGAAGCAGCCCAGTGGCCAGGCCAGGCGCGTGGGGTGCATGGGGCAAGTTCCCCCCCTCCACCCTTCCCCCCACTCCCCTCACTACCTTGTGTTGTTTGCAATGCAAGCGACACAAGCCTTGTGTTCCCGCGCAGCCTGGATTCATTTCTTTGGGGGGGACATTTCTCTGCAGACCACTAAAGTTTTCCTGCGGACCACCACTGGCTTCCGGCCCACTGGTTGGCAACCACTGTTCTAGTATACAGCAAGCAATTTGGATTCCTTGGCCACAACTAGGTTTGTTGGGACTAATTACGTTTGGCGTTTGTTTTATCCAGGTGAATAAAAGACTGTTTCTGCCCTGTTTTGAAAAGGGGTTTGTTTTCCTTGTGAGTCAAAGCAGCTTGTCATTACGTCAGAATGGCACCTTTATGTTCTTCTCCAGATCCAGGTTGATCTGAATGGCCACGGACAACATCTTGAAGGGGCTGTCCTTCTTGGGCCCCAGAGGCCAGCTAATGGGGCCCTCTTGGGAGGCATAGATGGTGGGGTGCAGCCCGTCGGGGGGCAGGAAGTTGGGAATCTCCAGGTGCTCCGCTGTAAGATAGTCCTCCACGACAGCTGTTTGGGGGGGGGGGAGTGAGAAGGAGAGAGAAAGCACCACGGATTAAGATAGACTGCTGCAGACTTTGTTCCTTTCCAATCCCATTTTCTGTCTCTCCTACTCCAAAAGTTAGAAGAAGAAAAGGCAACGATGGCAACAGCGCTTAGATTTATTGCTCTGACCCAAACCCGGTTCCACGAGAGTGAACACAAGACAAAACCTTTTACTGTTTCATTTACGAATCCCGTTTCTTCACCGATCAAAGGCTGCTTCCCACTAATTAGCTCCGACAAGGAAGAGCCTGGCCAAGTTTTTGCAAGGCTGCCAAGAACAACAGATAAAGTTCCTAAACAATAAATCCAAGAGTCTCCAAATACCAACTCAGATATTCTAATGTCCACCAGGCTCAGGTATCAAACAACTTTGCCTTCTGCAAAGAACTCTGGTTTCTCAGCTGGCTTTTATCTCTTAAGGGAGGGGCCATTACCTTGCAGCCTTATTCCTGAGTCGCCCGTGCTGCCGCAGCTGCTCTTTGAGCAGCCCTGAGCATACACGCACTGGGCCCAAGTTGGGGACCCCTGTTCTACAGGACAATTCAACTGAATTCAACTGAACACACACACAGGAAGTGAGAGGAGCCGAATATAAACTCATAAAACATACCTATGCCTGTTTTAGTAGTTGCCATAAAAAGGGAGGGAAGCCAAAATACATTCCAATTCTTATCTTTAAAAGATTGTAACTAACATACCAGAGTTTTTGCCCCCAAATATATTTAACTGGAGAATGTGAATGATGACACCCAGCCCGTGAAGGTGCTCAGTTGGAGAATCTGGTTTATGAGACACCCAGGGGAGAAGGGGGGAAACAGGGTCATATTGGACTGTAAATTCGGTATGCCAGAGTTGGCTTCATCCAGGGCAGGGCCAGTATGTCGCCTCTAATGAATCCTTTGAAGTTTTTTGAAGTTTGGCTCGAGAATCATGATTTAATTAGAGCGATTGCTGGAATCCTGACACACAGGCACTAGGCTGGACCCTGACCTTTGTGATAAAGTGCCACCTTCTCAGCCTCGATGCAGAAGTAGCCAATGTCCTCGCGGCCTTTGTAGTGCGAGACACTGAAGAGGCTCCCGTTCTCCACATCCAAGACGAGTTCCCCATGAGCCGTTTCCAGCTTCTTGCCTCCTTCACCCTGCAGAGACGAAGGGAAGAACCGAGTGAGTGAAGGCAGTTGAGAAGCAGGAAGGGCCGAGACTATCTAAGCTGCAAACACATCTTACGGGTAGTCCTTGACTTACAACGGCTCATTGAGTGACCATTTGAAGTTACAACAACGGCAATGAAAAAAAGTGATGTGACCGTTTTTCACCTTTAACAACTGTTAGAGCATCCCCATGGTCATTGATCAAAGCTCAGCTGCTTGGACACTGGTTCACACTTATGACCGTTGCAGGGTCCTGAGGTCATGAGATCCCCTTTTATGACCCTCTGACAAGCCAGCGAGGAAGTCCGTTTCACCTTAACAACCATCTTATTAACACTGCAGTGATTCACTTAACAGTCGTGTCAAGGAAGGTCGTAAAATGGGGCAAAGCTCATTGAACAAATGCCACTTAGTCAGAGAAATTTTGGGCTCGACTGGGGTCGCAAGTCAAGGACTAAATGTATTTCATTTCGACAGTGCATACAGCTGTCCATCTAACACACAAGCGTGGAGTGCTGATATGAATGGCCTCAGAACAGTGCGCAAGACCGAGGAAGAAAAACAACGAAGACCAGACAGGGAGGCTCTCCATGCACATGTGCGTGCAAAAATGAAGCAGGATGGTGGGAAAGAGAGTATTGTGGCCTATTGGCCACCCCCCGCCCCCCCAGCAGTTGAATCAGAGGAGGCAGCGTGGGAATCAGGGTCAACATCAGGGCAACCTGGGAGCTCCGAGGGGGAAGAGGGAATGGAGCTCAGAGAGAGAGAGAGAGAGACGGAGGCGGAGCCTGGGCTGTCCGTCAACCCTCAGATGGAGAGTCCACAGCCCCCAGGTCTGGAGGTGGCTGATGAGGAAGAGGAGGAACAGCTGGGCCCAGTGCCTGACATGCAGATGCACAGAAGGCAGAGGAGAGGAGAGCAGTGGAAATCTATGAGACGGTCCTCGGGACGGAAGAGCCACCGCTGCTAGCGAAGCCCCACCCAAGCTCTGGGGATAAAAGGCAGGGGGCGGAGATGACTAGATGTGGCAACTATTCATCTTTGGCTGGACGGACTTGTTGGCCTGCGGTGAGGGGCTGCCAGCTCTCCTAATTAAAGGAATCCCTGAGTTCACTTCAAAGGGTTAGTCACGTTTGGGGAACTGGGCCAGAGCAGAGAGGCTCTTTCGGGGGAAGCTGGCCCGACTCTTTGCAAATGGTCCCCCACACCACAACAATGGATGCAGATAGTGTCGCTTCTCACTTTGGCGTTGCAGAGCGCTGTAATGCGTCCCTGGCCCACCCGGAGCACGACAGAGATGCAGCTGAGGGAAAAGGGGTTCCTCAGCTCCCCTCTTTTTTGCTGTGTGCCCGTCTTGTCCGCCGAGTAGAAGTGGGAGTCATCATCGTCCGAGTCCGAATCTGCAAAGAGCAACGGAGAAGGACCCTTTTTCTATCCCGCCTGGTTGTCTGCCGACCGGAGTGTGCACAGGTGTCACCACTCCTACAATGGCTGTCGATTTGCTTCCGGGTGCAACTCAAGGGGCTGGTTGTCCCATTGAAAGGCCTTCATGGCTTGGGACCAGGTGATCTGGGGGACCGTCTCTTGCTGGTCACAGCCACCTGACCCACTAGAGCGGGAAGGCAAGGAAGGTTGTGGGTTCCGTTCCTTAAGGAGCTACATCTGGCGGGACCCAGAAGAAGGGCCTCCTCCGTGGTGGCTGCCTCCTGCTGGAACATCAGCCCCCCAGAAATGAGACCAGCCACCCCCCCAATCTGACCCTTGTTCGGAAGGCCCCGGAGGTGCGATTCTGCCAGGGGGCCTGGGGCACCCAGAGTGGGACAGAGCCCATTAAATGTCTGGCGTGTGTTCGTGTGCATTTGTGCGATGATTGTATTCTTTTTATTTCTTCTACTTTGTGTTTGTATTATCTGTAAGCTGCCTAGAATCTCTGTGAGCAAGTAGGTGGCTATATAAATAAAATAAAAATATAAATAAAATAAAATAATAAAATAAATCAAATCAAATCCCGGGATGGGGAACAATGGCCTCTTTTATTACCTGTGTGTGAATTTTAACGCCCAGAATTCCTGATAAAAGGGGCCATCGCTCCCCGCCCTTCTTCTATCCAAGGATGGCCAACCCTCCAGGCCACAGCCAATCAGACAGCAAGGGGGGTGCAAGCCCCCCCCCAAAAGCTCTCCTCCTCCCCCTGCCCCAAACATGGCTTCTCACCCAATTTAAAGGCCGACTTGCACATCTGGAAGCTCTCCGGCCAGTGGGCGGGCGAGGGCCCATCGGGGGCAAAGGGGGATGCAGACCTGGCCCCTCCTGGAGGGTCCGTGGGGCTCGGGAGGGGGCCGAGGGGCTCCCACATCAGGAGGTCATTATTGATCCTGGGAGGGGTGAAAAGAAGAGACAGCAGCAAATGAGAAGGTTCCAAAGGCTCCACTTGCCTGCGGGGGAAAATGACAGAGTCAGTCCTCGACTTACGAACATTCGTTCGGTTCCTTTTGGAGTTGCAACAGCATTGAAAAAAACAGGGACTTTATTCACACTTGGTGTGGGACTCATCTCCGGGGGGGGGGGGGGGGGAGGAGTGAGTCTGCCTATCGAGATGAGGTGGACCGGCGGCTTTCGTGGTGTGGGGGCCATAACTTTGCCTGCCTTTCCGAGGCTTCAACGTTGGGAGAGGCAGCAACGGCTGGAAGAGCCGAGAGCTGCGCATGGCTCCGTCTCCCTTTCCTGCCTGCAGGTGGGCACGTGGGGGTGGGGGGTTGGGGGGGGAGGAAGGAGAGAGCAATTCAAAGCTAGAGAACTAATGGGGAGCGCTGACGGCGGGCGCTGGGGGGAGGGGATGACTGCTGTTGCCACCGTCGCTGTGCGTGGGAGTGTGCATCTCAGGGACCTGAGCCGGGAGGCGCAGGAACGGCAAGTGGGAGCATTGGGTGGATTTTAAGGCCTCCTGGAACGTGGCAGGTGGGTGTTTTGTAGGTCCCGGTGAAAGAGTGAGTTTCGTTTCACCTCCTTTCCTCCCCTGGTACTGCCAGAGATGCTCTCTCTCTCCCCCCCGCCCCCCCCCGAACCCCAAATACTCACTGGCTGTGGCTGGGTTTGGGAGCGAAGTACTAAAGGAAGCGAAGCGCCCCCAGGGACACCTTTCCTTGCCTGTCTCCAGGTGGGGCTGGAAGAGCCCCCTCCCCCTCACCAGCTTTTCCTGGGCTGCAGATCGGAGCTCCCTCAATCCGCCACCTGGCATCGGGAAGGCTCTTCCGCCTCTTTGGAAGGGGCCGGTGGCGGGAGGCTTCCAGCCCGGAACGTCTTATTGCGTTATCATTAAGCATTTACACTTTTGTTATAATTAAGTAAGTGTGTGTGTGTGTGTGTATAATCTTTATATTAAATATAAAGTGTGTGTGTGTGTGTGTGTGTGTGTGTGTGTGTGTGTATAAAATTTATATTTAATATATATATATATATTTTTATATTAAATATATTAGCTTTTCAAAAAAAGTCATATTAGTGGTCCTCGGGATTTGGCGGGCGCTGGGACCCCAAAGGTTGGCGACCCCTGCTCCATAGCCCTCCGGTGTCCCCCGAGCCTGCTGACCTGTTGTAGATGCTCTCGTAGAACTTCTTGCTCGGCAAGAAGATGTGAACGGTGGGGAAGGTCAACTCCAGGGTGTAGCGGGAGGCGGCCAACGTCTCGTTCTGGAACTCCGCCATCTCCTCGGGGTCCCCGGGGATGACCATCTTGCAGAGGGAGAGGGAGAGGATGGTAGCCATCGAATAAGTATGCAGCTTAGGGCTGACCCCGTTCCCTCACTCTCCCCCCCCCCGCCCCCCGGGTGAGAATCATAGTTCAGATCCTCCAACAGCCAGAAAATCTCTCACCTCCTCCGTCTCGTACATCGTCCGTTTGGAGGAGAAGGGCGACGGCTCCGGCTGCTTCAGCTCACAGGGGCTTTCGACCGTCGACAGCTCCACCTCTTCGGCGGCCGCCAGCACCAAATCCCAAGGGGCATCGGTGGGTATTGGGCAGAAGGTCAAGATGAGCCTGCCAAGGACAGGAGAGGAGAGAGCTGGACTCCTACCACCGCCACCCCTTCCCGTTTTGGAGTTTCAGCTGTGGGGCTACAGGAAGCCCCGTTCTCTTTGTAGCAGGAAATCTCTCGTCTCTGCTCGTGAGAAACTGAACTGTCAGGATCCGTGTATCTGCCATTTCTCCGATGGAAGAAAGGGGAGCATTGGATCTGATACATTTCTTTTCCTCTCTCTATATTCTAGCTATCTCTTTCTTGCCTGGTCTTTTGCATAACCTTTTACTTGATTTATAGCCGTTGCCTGGCGCCCCAGACGCCTGGAAATTTCTCACCTCTTGGGGAGATACAAGGGGAGGAAGGGGCCAGGTGGACTGCAATGCCGGAAGATCTCCCCAAGAAAATTTCCTTATCTGCTTTCTCAGGGGCGCTGGTGTAATAACCTCTTCACACCTGCAGATTGGTGGAATCCACATCGGACTGTTGGGAGGGGTTTCTAATTTCCTATATCCTAGTTGTACAACCTGAGGGACCTCAGATCCTGCTTTGAATTTTGACTTGTTTTTACCTCTCTTCAATAAAAAGATTCCTTTTGAAATACAAAGTTTTCAAGAGTCTATACTTATTTTTGAAGAGGGGAGAGGCTGGTCCTTACACTTACTTAGGAAGGAGGTACTTCTTCCCGATGCCTCTGGCCAGTAAATCCGGGGCTTTGCCTACCCGAAAACAAGGGACCGACAGCATCTCACCATCTTCATAAATGCCTGTGTAGGAGAAGAACAGGCACAGCCGGGGCGGAGTTACGCAAGTCATCAGCCTAGAATCAATACGTTCTCACAAATGCTCCACTTGGACTCTGTTGGCTTTTATTTAGCGCCAATTTAGCACTGAACATTAGTCGACTAATTCCGTGCCTATAGACTCGAGCAACATAGGTAGTCCTCAATTTACGACAAAAATTGAGCACCAAATTTCCGTGGTTAAGCAAGACAGTTGTGAAGTGAGTTTTACCCCATTTTACCAGCTATCTCGCTATGGTTGGTTAGTGAACCACTGCAGTTGTTAAGTTAGCAATACGGTTGTTAAGTGAATCTAGCTTTCCCTTCGATTTTGTCATATTTTTGAAAGTCCTTAAGTGAGTTTGGGACAGTGCAACCGTCATAAATATGAGCCAGTTGCCAAGCAGCTGAATTTTGATGGTGCGACCGTGGGGGATGCTGAAACGGTCCTACGTAATGAAAAATAATCACTTTGAATCATAATTAAAAGTGAAAGTAGGTTACTTTTTTCTTTTTAAAAAAATTGTTTTTATTGATTTTTCTTTTTTACGTATCTCAATCAGTCATAAACAGCACTGTGATACATTTTTATACAACTACTTTCCATATCAATATTATATACCCGTGGTGGCGAACCTATGGCATGTGTGCCGAAGTGACACGCAGAGCCATGACTGCCGGCATGCGAGCACTCGGCCAGAGAAGGTCGACTGCGCATGCATGCGCTGCCCACCCATCAGCTGATTGTCAGGGATCTGGCATGCATTTGCAGGAGCACAGAGGTGCACAGGAGACACTCATGCGTGCACAGAAGCATGCGGCATGTGTGGGGGGGTTGTGCACGCATGCACAGAAGCACATCACACGGGTCGCACGTGCGGAAGCATGCAGCACAGGTTGCGTGCGCATGCGCAGGAGGCATGGGGGCACCGCGCGCATTACCCTTTGGGTGATGGCACGCGAGCACGAGCAGGCAAGCGCACACGCCATTATTGGCACAGGAGCCCAAAAGTTTAGCCACCACTGATCTATACGTTCTATTTCTATACTTTTTACAACTATATAATACATTTTATTTTATTTCTTTCCTCTATCCAGTTATGCCATTTTTCTCATATTGCATAGAATTCAGAATCTTCTTTTCCTTTTAATTCTATAGTCATCCTATCCACTTCCGCACACTTGAAAAAGTTTTTGATTACTAGGCCTTTGGACTTTTGTCAAAGCTGTTAATTTTGAACCGTCACTTAACAAATGGTTGTAAGTCGAGGACTACCTGTATGGGCCTTGTAGTCCTAGATGTCCTGGCAGCTGTACTAACCGTCCCTTGTGGACTTCTTCCACAGTGGGTGGCCTTCAGCCAGTTCTGACCACTTCTGTGGAACCGGTC